GCGATTGTGGTGGAAGAGAAGACAGACGCTGCTTTCAAATGGCGTCTGTATGAGCACCCGAAAGGGCTATGGAGGAACGAACACTTGTGATCGGACCTTCGACCCAGTGGTGATGGGGCTTACATGGGCACCTTGCCCTCTGCCCTCGATCCTGAAGACTGATGTTCTACAGAATGCTTTGTCCGGTCTAGCAAACGGTGGAGTCTAACTCCTCCTTGGGAACAGAGTCCTTGACTTAGAATATGCCGATGACATCGCCTTGCTTGCTGACAACACACAGGCAGTCCAAAACGCATTGAACCGCTTGGCGATCGAGGTATCCAGGTATGGTACGTGCTTTGACCTTCCAAGTGCAAAGTGCTTGTTCAAGACTGGCAGGAGCCTGTGTCTGCACTCACCCCCTGTAGTGATCAGCTAGAAGTAGTCGAGCGCTTTAAGTACCTCGGGAGCTTGATCGCAGCTGGTGGTGGTGGTGTTGAGGACGAGATCACATCATAAATAGTGAAAGCTAGAGCAGCTTTCGCCACATACCTGTGGCGCCACCACGACATCCAACTGTCCCTTAAGGGTAGGGTGTACATAACCGCGGTTCGTAGCGTTCTGCTTTACGGTTGCGAGACCTGGCCGCTCCGCGTTGAGGATGCTAATCGACTTTCTGTATTCGACCACCGATGTCTCCGAAGCATTGCTCGTGTCTGACGGGAACATCGGGTGAGCAATGACGAGGTTTGTCGTCGTGTGTTGGGTGGGGATAATCTTTCTCGAACAGAAGTAATCGCTCTACACCGCCTCCGATGGCGTGGTCAAGATTTACGTATGCCTACCCATCAACTACCTTTCCGTGCTCTCTTCGCTCTTGCCGGACAAGGCTGGAAGAAGCAGCGCGGCGGTCAGACCATGACATAGGCTAGAGGCATGAAGAAGGTGGCTTCAGCTTTGGCTTCGTTTGGTGCAGCCCGCCTTCCAGGTTGGGGCCCAAGGGATGAGGATTGTTGTTGGTTAGAGGCGCTGAGAGATATGGCCCGGAATAGAAGTCAGTGGCGCGAACGCTGTACGGTCTGCCTGTCGAAATCCCATGCCCGGGTTAGGTGGACAAGCGCCAGGTCTCCTGTTGCAGTGACTTATCCGATCGATCGATAATTGAACCCGATCGGTCGTGTGATTTTCGGAGGATAAATTCTGAATCTGATGCTGCTCAAGTGTTGGTAGAGAATCAGTTGGGGAACAATGTGCCATGTGGGAGATTCGGAATGAACAAGTTCAAGCGATGACACTGGGCCGACGTTTGACTCGTCTAGGATACACGCGCTATTTTTTAAGCGGGTTCTCGCGCAAATTTTCCGGCAGGTGTGAGACGGGAGTTTAATTGGAAGAAATTCACTGTTCAGCCAACCGAAGGCCGTAGACGCCAGACAACAAGAATTACGGCAGCTCTCAAGCAATTAACGATTCATAAACAAAAAATGTATCTCACAAACTGTCCGTAGACCCGGTTACGATGACCTTTGGCAAGTGACCTGTCGAATCTCATAGATGCTCTAGGACAACTGAGAGTATCGTTCATTCATTCACACAGGCGCATGCGGGCGACGGTGTTTATCGATCGCTCGGATTTGACATCTCACCCCACTCATCCGCTCACCAGCCAATCGCGATTATCGTTCACCCGTTTGCACGTTAGTGCAACAGAGCCCGTCGTCAGACCGAATGACCGTGGCTTTGATGACCACAGTAACAAAGGTGACCACATTCGAGTGCTCAACAGAATCCCAAAAAACCTTTGCAGACTACAAAGATGTATTTTTAGCAAAATCATAAGTCGTCGTTTGTCTCCGCTTGGCTCTCCTTTGGAAATCAACAAACGCGCTGTTTAAAACAATTGTACACTCCAATAATTGAATTGAACTCCGAGCATTAGCCAAGACAAACAGTTTCAATTGATTCAATAACTTCTGCTTCTCTCTGGTTGAGATAACTTCCGGTGCATTCACTGCCTCCCATTTCTCTTCTTATTTGCGATGCTTAGCTTGATTCAAAACGAATTCACCTAATGGCTAAAAAAGAGACTTGATACAAAAGTTTTAAATAACCCATTTCTTCAGAATCAAATTCCAAACAGGCGATTTTTTCTCCCAAATTCGGTCATCAATAGGCAATGAGTATCCTCTGGGGGTTGCATCAATGGCTGAATCAATGTGGATTTGAACCCTGCTTTCATGTAAGCGTTGATCAGTACCTGCGGATGCACAGACACCCAAGCTTTCTTGACCATGAGAATGTCCACCTCAGCTTTCATGACAGGTTGCTCATCTTCGATCAAAGATAAAAAAAATATTCCAATAAATGTCTCGGAAACGAACACTTGAAGGACCCACTCGCACCCTAATCCATTGGTTGTAACACTGAAGAAAAGTTCCGAGACTACTAATTTGACGTTGGAGAATACTGCGGCCTGGTTATGACAAGAAGCATTGTCCATAAATAGTAAAACAGAGCGCCTTTGATAAATCATTTTGCAGTTGACATCGGACAGCCAACTGTGAAGTAATGTAGAAGTCATCTATGCGTTCTTTGAAGAATTATAACTGGACGGAAGGCTTTTTCTATTTATGCCTCGGAGGCATCGTGGAGTTTGAAACTTTCCAATCACCAACGGCGATAACTTTTCTCCAGTCATGCTCCCACAAGGTAGTAACTTGACCCTCCCTTTGCATTTCTTGTACCCAGAAACTGTCTTTCCATTCAGACTTGTTCTTTACGGGAGCTGCCTGCAATACAAAACCGTTTCATCTACATTGAAAATATCACAGTCAGCATATCCATATTGTATCAACTGAGGTAACCCCACTCGTCCATCATGTGGTACCGCGAAACTTTCCCCACAAACCTATAAAGTAATGCTGATGAGCTGCTTGTTTCTTATTTTGTACGATTGAATACCATATCTATCTGACCAAGAGCGAAGCCAGCCTTTGGAAGCTTCGGAGTCACAGTGATGCAATATTTGGGCTAACTGAATTGCCTTCTTACGTACGATGCTCTCCACCATTGGGATCTCTCCCTGTTTTCCCCTCATAGCAGTAAACCAAGCCAAAGTTGCCTCATTTACTGCCTTGAACTTTTCGTTGATATTCGGGTGGCATCTTTCCTCAGATGCTCCAGCGTTCGAAAATTCTCCGATAGTCGCTTGATGGGATACAATATTGTAGACAGTTTTTCATGAAATTCCAAGTGATTTGGCTACTCTGCAACTCTGAGTTGCACCTGGCAGCATTTCCAACACATTCTGCTTCCTTCTGATCGATAGGTTCTTGCGCTTTTTGACAGTGTCTCCAATCACTTACATCGGTGTGACTTCCTCGCAAGGATTATCCAATCAGCGAACAGTGCTATGAACGCGTGTAACACTAAGTGCAACGCCATTGATTGACTGCGAAAATCGGTCAACGACCAAGTGAGTACGTATCAGGAACTGCGACATATTGAGGGGTGCGACATCGCATAGTTAGAAACTATGTTGTTAAGTATATGGTTGGTTTGGTTTTTTGGAAAAAGTGGGAAGATATTGGAAAATGCGACTTCTCAGGGGTGCGACATAGCAGGAGGTTGACTGTATTTATTTAATTTTTCTTTCCGTCCAATCATTCCTCGGATATTTTAGTGCAGTGTTGTATGGTGGTCAATTTTCATTGTTTGACTCATCTGGAGGCAAACACTGTCAACTAGTGAAGACTGCAAAAGCCAACAGTCTACCCTAAAAGCCCATTAAAGGTCGTCTGTGCCGACACAAAGAATCAGACTCTCTATCTATTCATGATTGCGATCTCCTTATAGACCATAACACCGAGTTGGTTCATTTATCACGTGGAAAATAATTACAAGTCATATATATGGTGCTTCAAATACTCACAAAATTAACTCACTTTGTTTTACGCCCCATCATATAACCGATATGTGGCTTTCAGTTGTTGGGACGCTCGTACCACGCAAAGGTCCGGTTGGTTCCAGGTGTAAACCCTGATCACAGCGGTGTTCACTAGGTGCATTGATTTCTACAGTGCTTAAAGGTGAAGTCTCAACGAAAATTGAAAATCTATTACACTTGAACTGGATGCCATTCCATATCAAGCAATGTTTAGCGGAAACATGACAGATGTGATTAGTTTACTACTTTAACTGATTGCACTCACCGGCGGATTTTTTTCTCTAACTACCAACTACTGAGCAATTACAATACACAGGTCTACGATCCTTGTAACGTGAAATGCCCGATAAATTATTGATCTTTTATTGTTTTGTGAACACAATCATTTGGATCGTGATTTCCTTTACCACGAAACCAAATCCGAATGTGTCGACCAATTTCCAGTTGAACGTGTAATGGTAGTATCTGCCAATGGTTACATGTAACTCGTGTAGGGTTCTGGTAAGGAATGTTATTTGGTACTGCAACGTGAGTTCCTCGAATAAAACCCACAACTCACAACTTCTAATGACTAACCGTCCTCTGAACCTTATCTTCATGTACAATTATCAGTTCGTTCGGTCACACACACAAACCCACACTCCTGACTCAAATGGCTTTCAAATGAGAGACGATAGACGAACAAAAGTGAATCTGCAATTCTGATTCGGTAGTTGACACAACGATAATGCGCGCACACACACTTTACATGCTGTGGATTCGGGGTTCAACCTGTATGTCAGTGAATATGCGCCACCGGTAATCGTCCGTTATACTGGAATTGGAATCTGGTGCTTCCTCTGTGTACATTTGGTTGTACGGAGTGAGAATAATGAATGAAGTGGGCAGGTAATGAAGAGGTGACGAGATTCACTTCTTTTTCAACTGTATTGACGCTCTTCACTAACAACTGTTCGTACCTTGAAATTTGGGTTCATCAAAACGTTTGGTCGAGAAAGAGGTTTCCATCAGAGTTTTATTCCATATCCCAATAGATTTTTTAGTGTAAACATTAGTTTGGGTATGCAAACGAATGCCCGTAAATACATCTCTAAGACTAGAAAGTAAGATTCACATGAAAACGAAATACGAGAGAGTTATAAAGTAGTCTCCCATATTTTGGTTTCACTTGTTCCATCTGATGAGCGAACTTGCACGCCGCCCCGGGAACAAGACAAATCCAAACCCATCACTTCAGTGAATGCGATTTATAAATTTCACTTAAATGCACACAACAATTTTGAATGAGTGTTCCCTTTCCCTTTTGTGAACTCGCTGCCATCCCGGTCTCATTTAATAAACTTTTACTGAATATCTACGATTGGAAGGTTTTTCAATGANCGTGCGATGGCCGAAGTCGGTCTGCGTGATGCGGTCAGAGTGTGTGATGTGGACTGAGTCATAGAGTCACGCCCATACTTGGGGATGTGTTCAGCCATTCTAGTTCGCAGTGATCGGTCGGTTCTACCAATGTATGCTTCGTTGCAGGTGAAACAGAAGGTGTAAACGCAATGAGAGGTAGACTCGACTGGACGACGATCTTTGAATGGGGGGAGGGGTAGGTGCCGTGTGATCGGATGGAGTCTTAATGTGGCAGCGTAGTAG